ATGGAGGTATTGCTTTCCATCATTTTCTATGACCCCAGTGTTTGTCTGCCACACTGCCAATGATTATATTGCAAGATCCAACTTGTAACAGTCAAAAACAATATTTTTCACCGTCCAAAATTTTAATCCTTTCTAGTAATGTAATCACCTTCCCAAGGTCATGTAATAGGCTGCAGACAATCTTGCTAAATCAAGGGTTGATAGAATTCATGATCTTTTAAGTTTTTATCCTTAACTGTTTTGGATGGTGCCCTCTCTTTGTCTGCTGCTACTTGTTGCTGGGTTTTAATGCATGCCTCTGTGACAGAGAGCTTTCTTGAGCTCTTATTCTCTGAAAAAATTTATGACCTGCAGGAGGATGAAAGACTCACAGCAGTTATGTCCCCTCTCTTACTTATCCCTCTGCCTCTTTTTGGTTCAAGCCTGGTTGTGGTCTTTTGGCTGTGTTTTTGCTGTCAAATCTCTTATACAAGACTTGATTTTTGTTAGCCAATTTTTGTACACCATCTCTAGAGAAGGATTCTGGTCTGATTTTGTCAAGTTCCCTCTTCTTTTGTGTAAATGGGTTTTCTCTTTTGATATAAATACATCACATATTTAATCTTCAAAAAAGAAAAATTGTAATCATTAGCTCTTCTAAAGTACTTGTTGCCCTGATAAAATTGTAGTTAATGTAAACAAGAGAATGGCTGAATGATTTTGCAGATAGTGACCAATGGAATTTACGGTAGCATTGAGCATCGTGCAACAGTTAACTCAGAGAAAGAGAGGCTCTCGATCGCTACATTTTACAGCCCGAAACTGGATGGAGAAATGGGTCCAGCTCCAAGCCTCATCACTCCAGAAACTCCAGCAAATTTCAAAAGAATAGGTGTTGCAGACTTCTTCAAGGAGCTGTTTAAACGTAGGCTCGAGAAAAAGTCATTCCTTGACGTCTTGAGAACCCAAAACTAGTTAGGAATGCCAGAAACATGTGATCGGCCGGCATTGCCGACTGCTCACAGTTAAGGTGAAAATTTCTGCAACTATGCTGTCAATAAATAAATATCATGAGAAAGAGGAAGTGAACAAGAAGAGCTTCGCCAGGTTATTGGCTTCTACTTGTTCAGAATTGAGAGACAAGTTCACCAGAGTGGAGGCTAAAACCTTCATATGTAAATACTAGTTACTTGTTATGTATTAATTTAATTGAATGTATTGATTTCATAATATTGCAACATTCAAAGTGTCATGATAGAATTTGAGTGACACTATTCATTTTTCTCCCTACTTACCATTTTATTGTATCATCTTTTATTATATTTTAATACCAAGTTCGTTGTCAGTAAATTGGTGTTAGGTGCTGATAAGGATGCCTTTCATTATACCTGCACGGCCCCTGCCCATGTGGCATTATTTGTACTTTTCCTATTAGTCGACGATAAGGGTTTCGAAATGACAATCCAACAATAGAAAATAATATATTCTTTATAGGAAAACTTAGAGGCTCATACGGTTCTGTAAAGATTTTTTTTGGGATATTTTGAAAAAGAGAATAAAATATTTTAATTTTTTAAAATTTTAATTCTATTTCAAAAAATTATTTTTTGTTGGATATATAAATGTAGCCGTTAGCTAATTGTTAATGTTTCTATCAATTTGCTAACTTAGTAAAAGTAAAAAAAAATTTACTCTTATTAATTTTTATAATTATAATTATATAAATTTATTATTTTTTTATTAATTAAAAAGCAAACCTCTAGGGAGCCCTGATCGAGCTCTCCAAGGGGAGCATTGGCCGGTGCTCCGCAGGGGATCAGTGCCTCTTATTTTCTTTTATTTTTTTTAAATATAATAATAATGTTTAAATTAATAAAAAAATATTTTAATCTTTTCATTATTTCTGTTAACAATATTGTAGCTTTGGAGAGAAATATTTATTTTGAAAACTAATGAATCTTCGTGTAATTTCGATTAGAATTTAAGAGGGTTAGGTATTTTATCCTAAAAACTAACTCTTAAAGAAAAAATATTTTTTAAAAAAGTAGTCTTTATAATTTTACTTATTTTTAGTTGAGTTGAACAAAATTATCCTGAATGATGTTACAAGCCATTACATGATGTTACACATCATATTGAAAAAATGTTATTGTTACACGTTATATACAAAAATATGTTATACACTATGGTTAAAAAATATTGTTACATGCCATATTGAAAAAAAAATTATTATTACATGTCATGTGTAATAACATGTTATAAGCCACAAGATTATTACACGCGCCATGTACAAAAATACGTTACATCTCATATTAAAAAAAATATTATTATTACATGTTATGTTGATAAAATATTGTTGTTACATACGATGTTCAGAAAAATTATATTACACCTTAATGCCTAAAGTGTTATTACTTACGAATTAAAATTTCAAATCTTCTCAACTCTCTTCATTTCCTTTTGTTTGTTTTTTTTATAATTTGACACCGATTAAAATGTTTCTAATATGTTTTTATAAATCAAAATATAAATTTTTTATGTAAAATACCTATTTTGACTAAAAATTGAGAAAATTCCTATTGAAACCCTAAGTTTCTAAATTTCAAATTCTTGAATTTATTAGTATTTAGGTTTCGAATTGATCTAACTAAAAGCTATTTCAAACGTCTGTGATCATTTTTATCGTTTTAGTTTTATCCAAAATACTTAAAAATTAAAATTTTTAAATAGCCACTCATATTAAAACCATCTTTTGGTATTTTGAAAGTGTGGAAGAGAAATCAGGAGCAGATGAATGTTGAAGAAAGAAATTGATTAAATTAAAGAGAATTGGATGGTGAGAGAAAGAAATCAAAAGCACAGATGGAGAGAATTGTAATGAATGATTTAATTTATTTAAAATAATTTTAAGGATATTTTTGTCAAGTTATGATTAAATATAATTAAAAACAATTAAATATATTTTGATGGTTATTTTTTAAATACATTTATCAACGATGGTTATTCCTCATAATTTTTTTTTAAAAATAACATTTTATTTCAATAAAACAGAACAAATTTCTATAAGAGTACCAGCACCATATCAACTTAAAATCCAAGCTTTGCATGAAAACCAGACGGCAAAAATATCTCTATCGTTCCCTATCCAAAATATCCTTTCCATCCAAGGGAGGAATCAAGACACAACCTCTATAACAATTCAATCAACAATCACCAATCCTATCGCATCTACACAAAAACCTGGTTCTAATAGATTGATCTTTAGATTTGTAAGAAACCCAGCAGAGACAGAAGGAAGAGTGCCACTTTCCAAATTAAGCTTTACATATGGAAACACAACCACCAAAACTAGGGGCCTCCCTGATGGTGCCCTGTGTCCAAGAACTGGCTAAGGAGCATCTCATACAAGTTCCATCAAGATATCTGCGCAGTACTGATGAAGACCCTGCTCTCTTCTTATCAAACGCCAATTCTTCTTTGTTCCAAGTCCCTGTCATAGACATGCAAAAGTTGTCTTCCAAACATCTCAAAGACTCGGAGTTGGAGAAATTGCACCACGCTTGCAAAGAATGGGGCTTCTTCCAGGTACTACTCAATTACGTATATGCCTCTATATCCACTATTGAAAGTTTTATTGCTTATAGGTTGCGAAGTTCAAAACCAATAAATAAGAACTGAAGTAGAAAATATGAATGGGCTGGGCTAGAAATTCACTCAGACTTTGTTCCTACATAATTAAGAAAAGATCAATTAAGTTCATAATAATGCTTCTCTAAAAGCGAAAGAGGAAAAAAAGTCGATGAACTAATCTTGGAACTATAGAAGTCAAAGCTGTGCTTGGTGTGAATAAGAATCAAACATTACATGTTGGAAGAAAATTATATCTTGTAAATATTGTTGCAGCTGATCAATCATGGGGTGAGCACTGCGTTGGTGGAAAATGTGAAGTTGGGGATCCAAGAGTTCTTCAATCTTCCAATGGAAGAGAAGAAAAAGTTTTGGCAAAAACCAGATGATATTGAGGGATTTGGACAGGCTTTTGTTGTGTCTGAGGAGCAGAAGCTCGACTGGGGAGATATGTTCTACATGCTCACCCTTCCAACTCATTTGAGGAAACATCACCTATTCCCGAATCTTCCTCTCCCACTCAGGTTTCTCTCTCAATAATTGGGTAGTTGAAAAATAATTAAAATGTACCTTATAAGGCTAAGTAACAATTTTGATTGTTTGATTACCATTTTAGAGTTGCTGCGTGCTAATAGTTACGTAAAGATGAAGATAAGACTCCCTTTTTTGTTTTTATGTTTTTAATTTGCAGAGAAACCTTGGAAGCTTATTCATCAGAACTGAAAATTCTTGCCATGAAAATGCTTGACCTTATGGCAAAAGCTCTAAGGATGGACCCCAATGATATGAGAACTCTGTTTGAAGAAGGATCTCAAGGGATGAGGATGAGCTATTATCCTCCATGTCCACAGCCAGAGTGTGCCATCGGCCTCAACTCTCACTCTGATGCCAGCGGCGTCACCATTCTGCTTCAAATCAATGAGGTGGAAGGTCTCCAAATAAGGAAAGATGGCACATGGATTCCTGTTGAACCCCTTCCAAATGCTTTTGTCATCAACATTGGAGACGTTGTGGAGGTAGTGTGTCCATCATCGTATTTAATCACCAGATTGTTAAAGCCTAAGCAGATTCCATCGTGACTTCTCTCATTTCTGTTTGTTGTATACATACCAATGTCCGTCCACAGATTGTTTCCAATGGGATTTACCGTAGCATTGAGCATCGTGCCACTGTTAACCAAGAGAAAGAAAGGCTTTCTGTTGCCACTTTCTACAATCCAAAGCTGGATGGAGATCTGGGTCCAGCACCGAGTCTCATCACTCCAGAAACTCCAGCACTGTTCAGGACAATCGGAGTTGCAGACTACTTTAAGGGATACTATTCCCGCGAGCTTCGTGGAAAATCTAATGTCGATGTCTACAGAGTTGAAAATCTGAAAAATGATTCGAGCCCCGTCTCTTAAAGTGAACATCCTGAAAGAGGTTGGAGTTAGGCTCTGCTTGCAATACTCCTTAACGTGAAAAGTTAGGTTTTTAATCTAGAGAATAAGTGCTGAGAGAATAAATGCTATGAGAATAAGTGCTGTGCTATAATTATATGTCTTTTACATGTGAACGCTACAGTAAGCCTAATCTTACTGTAAGATCAATAAATAAAATTTTTATTAAATAATAAATATTTATTTAACAGGTTAATAGATAAATATATATATAATTTTTTAAATTTATTTATTTTAAGGATAACAATGTAGATAATTTTAAATTTATTTAGTTATTTAAAAGTTATTTAAGTTTTAATTTTATTTTATTTTTAACTTTAACTATAAGATATTATTCTTTTTATATTAAAATTATATTTAATTCATTAATGTAATAAAAATATATTATAATTGTTATGTTAACTCTCACATATTTACGATAAGATTTAACTTTTTTTATTTCACTTTTATAAGATTTATATTAATTCTTACAACTTTACGTCAAATCTTTCAATAGTAACTTTTAACTATAATTATCTTTATTTTATTATTCTTTATTTAAAATAAATTTAAATTATCGTTGCATACTTTAACCCGATAATATAAATATAAAGTTATTTTTCATTTAAATTAGATTTTTTACTTAATTAACTTATTACGTTAACTCTAATACATTTATGTTTATATTTAAAATTTAGTTATTCCACCTTTATAGTTTTTACGTCAATTGTTACAGTTTTACGTCAAGATTTATCTATGATAATTTTGAGCTATAATAATTTTTATTGTTATTTTTATTTAAAAATCAAAATTTATATATTCGTTAAACACATTTAGCTGAAAAAATATATTTAAATTTATTTTTCACTAAAATATATAATTTTTTATTAAATTGACTTGTTACATTAACTCTCACATATTTACGTTAAGATTCAAATTTAATTATTTCATCTTTATATGTTTTTACGTTCGACTGTTTACAGTTTTTACGTTAAGATTTATCTATGTTCATTTTGAACTATAATTATTATTTATTATTATATTTATTTAAAAAATATAAAATTTATATATGGTTAAAACACTTTTAATCCATGAATATATATTTAAATATTATTTTTCACTAAAATGTAGATTTTTTTTCCTAATGGACTTGTTACGTTAACTCTCACACGTTTACGTTAAGATTTAAAAGTTAGTTATTCTACTTTTATAAATTTTACGTCAATTCTTACAGTTTTATGTTAAAACTATCTATGTCAATTTTATCTTATAATTATTATTTATTCTTATTATTTTTATTTAAAAATTAATATTGTATCGTTACATAAACTTTTAGCTTTATAATATAAATACAAATACTTATTTTTATTTAAAATTAGACTTTTATACTTAATTAACTTATCACAATTAACTTTCACATGTTTACGTTAAATTTAAAATTTAGTTATTTACTTTTATAAGTTTTTACGTTAATTCTTACAGTTTTACGTTAAGACTTATCCTATGTCATTTTTAACCTATAATTATTTTATCCTTATTATTTTTATTAAAAATTAAATTTGTATATTGTTACATACTTTTAGCTCGATAATATAAATATAATACCTATTTTCATTAAAATTAGACTTTTTTACTTAATTAACTTATTATGTTAACATCTTACACATTTATGGTTAAGATTTAAAATTTAATTAATCACTATTATAAGTTTTTAAGTTAATTTTTACAGTTTTATGTCAAGACCTTTTTATGTCAATTTTTAAATGATTAATTATTTGTTATTCTTATTATCTCCTTTATATTAAAAGTAAAATTTTGAATCATTCATATATATCTGTTACCCCCGGATAATATAAATATAAATATTTATTTTTTATTAAAATTAATTTTTTTATACTTAATAATTTATTACGGTTAACTTTCAAATAGATTTAAAATTTAGTTATTTACCTTTTAAAGTTTGGTACGTCAATATTTTATATTTTACTTCCAAGGCTAATTCTATGTCAATATTGAACTATTAATTATATTACTATTATTATTTATTTAAAAATTTCAAATTTTATATATCGTTACCACTTTTAGCCGGACAAAATATAAATTTAAATATTTTTTTAATTAAACATCTATATAATTTTTTACTTAATGACTTATTCCATTAACTCTGCATCATTTACATAAGTATTTAAAATTTAATTACTTTCATCTTTATAAATTCTTTAAGTTCCATTGTTACAGTTTATATGTCAAACACTTAAAAATACTAAAATTTTGTATATTGTTAAACACTTTTTAGTTCAAAAATTATAACTTTAAATATTTTTTTCACTAAGTTAGAATTTTTTACTTAATTGACTTGTTACGTGAACTTTCATACATCTTTACGTTAAGATATTAAAATTATATTATTTCAACCTTTTTAAGTTTTTACGTCAATTCTCAATATTTTAACGTCAGGTTTTCTATATTCAATTTTGAACTATAATTATGTTGATCTTATTATTCTGTTATTTAAAATTCAAATTTATATATGTTAAACACTTTTAATCCAAAAATATAAAATAAATATTTATTTTTTAACTAAAATTAGAGGTTTTTTTACTTAATTGTTGTATGTTAACTTTCCACACATATTTCGTTAAGATTTAAATTTAGTTATTCACTTTGTATAAGTTTTATGTCAATTGTTATCCGTTTTACATAAGAGTTATTTATGTCCCATTTTTAAACTTATAATTATTTTTATTATTATTATTTTTATAAAAATTAAATTTGTATTATGTTAAACCAATTTTAGTCGGATACAAAATTTAAATATTTATTTTCCATTAACAATTAATTTTTTTGATTGACTTACTAGTTAACTTTTATCATTTACGTGTCTAATATTTTAAATTTAGTTATTCAGCCTTTATGAGTTTTTATGTCAATTCTTATTAATTTATGTTAAAGAATTTTTAATTTCATAACTTTTAAAAGAACTTTATGTCTAAGTATTTAAAGAGTATTTCATATACCATGTGATTCTAAACCAAATCTTCTCGCATTGAAATAATTATTGGTCATTAAAAATAGTTAAGCTTAATTTTATTTTGTTAAATTATTTTTTTACAAATTTTTATTTCAAAAATAAGAAGTGTTTTTGAATTTTTAGATACAATTTGGATGTTATTTTTGCTTCCAAAGCATATAAATAAAAATGTGTTTGACATGAAAAAGCAATTATTTTTTGTAAGTTACAAATAGAGAAATTCTACAATATATACATTTAAACAAACGTGATGTAGATACTCATTTTCTTTTCTCTTTTTGCCAGATTATATAGATTACATTAGAATTGGCATATTGTCTATTTTAGTCATTTGGTCTTTCATTTCCCAAAAAAAAAAAGTCATTTTCTAATTAATATTTATTCTAGCTTAACCATTTGCTTTCATAATTTTTGGAGATTTTTATTAAAAAATTAAAAAGATAGGAATTGCAAAATTTTTCTTTTTTTTTAAAGAGCATAATTTGTATAGTGCAATTCTATAGCCTTTTGTGAGGGCATAAAGGCTTATTTCAGCGTGATAACTTTCTCAATCAGTGAGATATACACAGCATAATTACTTGAATACAAAGCATATTAAGTAGCTAGCAAAGCAAATATAATAATAAAACAAAGCCTTAAAAATTAAAAATGATTTGACTTTAATTATTTTTATATCAAATTTAAGTTGCTCTACTAATTATTTTAATGATCAGTACAGTTCTTTGAGCACTTCTAGGAAATGAGCACTCTATTCTTTGTCAGGGTATGCGATTGGTTCAGCCATAAGTCTAAATCTGTTCACCAATGCGATTGACAAATTAGATTTAGGAAAAGATATCCAAGATAATTTTGAAGCTGGGAGAGGATTGGTAGTATGGGGTTATGGATGTTTGACGAAATGGCCGTTGCAATAACTAAAATAATGTTGCTTGACTTCTACAAATAAGCCAAAATCTTTGAACCGATATGCTGTCTGTTCTTGCAGAGTTGACATGGAAGCTTACTCGGCAGACTGAGAGATCTTTCGTTGAAAATCCTTGCCTACCAGGCAAAAGCACTGGGAATGGGTCCTAATGATTTAAGAATTTTTGAACAAGGTTGGCAAGCATTTAGGATGAACTACTAACCCCCATGTCCACAACCAGAGCTTGCCATTGGGTTAAGCCCTCACTCAGATGCTGTTGGCATCACCATTCTGCTTCAAATCAATGAAATGGAAGGCCTTCAGATAAGGAAAGATGGCGCTTGGGTTCCTGTCAAACCCTTGCCTGATGCTTTTGTGGTTAATATTGGCAGTATCATGGAGTATTGCTTCATCATTTTCTATGACCCAGTGTTTGTCTGCCACACGGCACTGCTAATGATTAATTGCAAGATCCACTTGTAACAGTCAAAAAAATATTTTTCAACTTCCAAAATTTAATCCTTTCTAAATATTGAAATCACAGCTCTTTTAAAGTCTTGTTGCCCTGATAAATTGTAGTTAATGTAAACAAGAGAACGGCTGAATGGATTTTTGCAGGATATGACCAATGGAATTGCGGGTCAGCATTTGAGCATCGTGCAACAGTTAACTCAGAGAAAGAGAGAGCGTCTCGATCGCTACTATTTTACAGCCCGAAAACTGGATGAGAGAATGGCGTCCAGCTCCCAAGCCCTCTCACGTCAGAAACTCCAGCAAATTTCAAAAGAATAGGGTGTTGCAGACTCCTTCAAGGAGCTGCTTTAAACGTAGGTCGAGAGAATGTCATTCCTTGACGTCTGAGACGCCAAAACTAGTTAGGATGCCAAAACATTGTGATCGCATTGCCGACTGCTCCAGTTCAAGGTGAATTTATGCAACTATGCTGTCAGTAAATAGAATATCATGAGAAAAGAGGAGGTGAACAATAGAAGAGCTTAGCCTGGTTATTGGTTTCTACTTGCTCACAATTGGAGGAGACAAGTTCAATCAGACTGGAGCGCTTAAAACCTCATAGTTAAATACTAGCTACTTGTTTTGTATTAATTTAATTGAATGTATTGATTTCATAATATTGCAACATTCAAAGTGTCATGATAGAATTTGAGTGACACTACTCATTT